AACAATATACACTGAGTGTACAAAACATTAAGAACACCGTCCTAACATTAAGTTACACCCCACCCTTTTGCCCACAGAACAGGTCAATTCGTCGGGGCATGGACTCTACAAGGTGTACTCCTGAGTGGCGCAGTGGTCTAAGGCACTGCATCGCAGTGCTAATTGTGCCACTAGAGATCCTGGTTCGAATCCAGGCTCTGTCGCCGCCGGCCGCGACCGGGAGACTCATGGGCGGCGCACAATTGGCCCAGCGTCGTCCAGGGTAGGGGAGGGAATGGCCGGCAGGGATGTAGCTCAGTTGATAGAGCATGGCGTTTGCAACGCCAGGGTTGTGGGTTCGTTTCCCACGGGGGGCCAGTATAAAAAAATAAAAAATGTATTCACTAACTGTAAGTCGCTCTGGATAAGAGCGTCTGCTAAATGACTAAAATGTAAAATGTAATGTAAATGTGTCGAAAGCGTTCCACAGGGATGCTGGCCCATGTTGACTCCAATGCTTACCACAGTTGTGTCAAGTTGGCTGGATGTCCTTTGGGTGGTGGACCGTTCTTGATACACCCGAGAAACTGTTAAGCGTGAAAACCCCAGCAACGTTGCAGTTCTTGATACAAACCGGTGCACCTGGCACCTACTACCATACCCTGTTCAAAGGCACTTCAATATTTTGTCTTGCCCATTCACCCTCTAAATGGCAGATATACACAATCCATGTCGCAATTGTCTCAAGGCTTAAAAATCCTTCTTCAACCTGTCACCTCCCCTTCATCTACACTGATTGAAGTGGATTTAACAAGTGAAATCAAAAAGGGATCATAGCTTTTACCTGGATTCACCTGGTCAGTCTCTGTCATGGAAAGAGCAGGTGTTCTGAATGTTTTGTACACTCTGTGTATATACATGTCACACAACTCACTTTGTACACAAACATCCCACATGTCCAAAGAGATGAGTGCAGTTGATGTGCAGGACAGAGATTATGTTGCTGCTCTCTCTGTCACTGCTTGGAGGAGACAGAGAGGGAGGACCCAAGATGACTGCCTGTGATTGGCTGACCCCACAGTGTGATAAGGTCCCTGGCAACCATGACCCCTAGCAATCAACGCTAGCCTGCTAGTCTTCTGTGGGGGAGGGGGTGTCTACTGCAGTAGTTGGAGTTACAGAGTTTGTGTCTCTGAGAGAGGGCTGTAAGATGATGTGCTAGGAGTCACCGGCAGGGAATTCGGAACAATAGCGAATCATGTTACAAAACAAGTTTGCGGCGGGACACAAGATGCTCGCGAAAGGGTTTTGAATGTTTGAAAAAATATTGCAGTTTTGAAACTGCAGTAAAAGTGCAGTAACTGCAGTCGACTGTGGTATTTTGGATGCAGTAATTGCAGAATAACTGCAGTGTACTGCAGTTGAACTGCAGTTATACTGCAGTAAAAAACCCTGTGTTATTTTGGACGCAGTATTTGCAGCATTCTGCAGTAATACTGCACTCTAACTGCAATCTTTTTTCGTAAAGGGGATGCAAGTGTGCATTGTCTCAATTCTCATTTTGCCCAAAACAGTTGCAGACACATCAGCAGGTGACCACTCGATAAAGGGTTTAGGTGCCATGTGTTCTTTCAACAGAAAATTGGTGACGTGTTGTCTTATGTAAACAAGTCTGAGTCCCTGCATAATGTGGGCAGGTCTATCTCACTGTCTGTAGGTTCTGCCGTATGATTGGATAGAGCACAATCAGTGCAGCTGTTTCTCCGTGCATGACAATTCTTCCTAGGCGTTACCATCCCGGGTAAGTGGGCAAGTGGGCATGATCAAAATCAAAACCCAAATATCCAATGGCTCTAGGAACATAACAGCATCCATAAATCTTGCAAATCTCAGTTCTGGAAAATACTAACTTTATGACCAAAATATTATGCTATTTACACTTTGTAGTCAATTGTTACACTATAATAAACATTTCTGACTAATATTGATGCAACAAGGCCGTTTTAATCCTGAGAAGTTTTTTTTTTTTGTTCAGCTGCCCTTTAACAATGCCAGGGGTTTGCTAATGAATTCTTAAATCTGTTTGCCAACAACATGAATAAGAGATACTTATTGCTCAGGTTGACAATTCACCATGGATAATGAATTGGATACTCTTGGTAGGTTTGTGACTTTGTAAACATTTATTGACAGTGTGCTGCTCTGCTGTTGGTAGATGGAAAGGGGGTTTAGGCAATGTCATCACATACATTACATGGGAACACAGCCTCCTCTGGTGGCCACTAACATGTTTGAAACAACTTTGACAACAAATATTTTCCCTGAAGCAGTAGCTAGTTTTATGGGTACTGTATTTCATTATTTTAAAGTAAAAATAAACTGGATAAGATACCATGTGATTAAATCAATGTGATGGTGTATTTAAGAGTACTTCTATTCATAGTCCGAAGGGAAAATCTATTGGGGAGTGAGCCGGCATCAGTATCCTAGGTGCCATATTATGCCACTGTGCCCTTGAGCAAGGCACTTGACCCCTAAAACAACTCTAGGGGTGCTGCACCTCAGGTTTTTCAGGGTTCCCAGGTTTTTGTGTGTGTGTGTGTTTGGGAGTTGGGGAGTTGGGTTGAGCAAAAAACTATCTCTGCAATTTCTTCTTCTTCTTCTGCTACTCTGTAATACTATATCATGCTGTCTTTTACAGTACAGAGTAGCCCTAATACTCCAGCAAAAAAATGTATAACGTACACTTCCACACCCTGAGTGTAATAAATAAATGAAAGGATAGGTCATATTTACCTAATATGTAAATAAATAATTATGAATGTGTAAATGTCTTTGACACCAGCAACTCTATCAATGTTATTTGCCTGATCTAACAGGTCCAATAAAAATGTAATGTGATTGATCAATCTCTTGTAATATCTAGCCTAAATGCCATTATCATGCAAAGATCATCCTTAAACAATTTGGCATTTATGTTCGGCTACTGAGTGACTTGGGGGCGTACATCTTTGAAAACTAATATTAATATTTAATTAAAAAATGTCAAGAGATGTCTGTTGTCCACAGCAATTGCAAAAATCTTTAAAGGGCCGAATTGAACATTGCCCCTCGATTGTTTTACGAGGCGCTTGCCTGCCTCTCCCAACTACGACCCGAACGAATAGTTAGTTATTGGATAACATTTCGATTCAAGCCTCCATCCGCCATTTTCAGCAGATTGAAAGAAGGTAGACAAAAATCATAGTGCTGATCGAAATAAAACAGGTAAATCCACAAATATGTCCAGACGGGTATCCCAATCAAACCTGTAGGCGACACAGGCCTACATTGGAAAACCAGAGACGCCTTGTCGATGGTTGCATCGGCTTGGAATAGTTTACCATGCGAGTGGTCGATGCAATACAAGGGTAACAATAAAAAGCATTTTGTCATATTATTTGACAAGGATGGACTATATCAAACATCTCGCGCAAATTTTCGGTCAAGCGCATTTCACAATCTGAAATAAAAATGTGTTATCCTCTGGATCTATTTGTTTGTAACAATGAAATACTTGCTTGATCTTGGAATACAACTTCAAACACATAATGTAGGCAATTTTTTAAAATCCCAGTTGTAAAATGTAGTGGTAAATCTAGGCATTAGGCCATTCTAGCAGATAAGTAGGCTAAAGCAATATGCACGGTTAAATTAAAAGGCAATATTTTTAGCAGTATGCTTTTTTTTGCCCACTGCAAATAGCCTTTTAAAAATAAATAAAAATCATGCGTCATTATACTTCAGGCTATGGCATATTCTGATTTATTTTATTTATGAACTAAGAATTTGGAAACGTCCTTATATCCATAAGAGCGTCTGCTAAATGACTAAAATGTAAAATGTAAACGATAACAATATTGGCCTATATGCGTTTTTTAAGCACCAACCCTTAAATTGATCGTGCTTATATTGCTTGTAGGTCTAATTGATTTGTGAACAGTGTAGGAATGTTCTGGATAAATAATCGTTTATCCGATGGGCAGTAGGCCAGTCTCTCTTCGTTGTAACTATACAATTATCATCAGTGGAATGTTTTATTTATTTGTATTTATTAATTCAATAGGCCTTAAGTCCTTATAGCCTACCCTACCCTATATTCTACATGAGGTGCAGCCTATATATAGTCTACTGAACACTGCACATTATCTTGCATCTTTGAGATAGGATTAATTTATTTGAGTTGATCACTATTTCAGGCTATATAAAATAATCTCTATTACAAAAATGAGTTATTACACTGAATTCATCCTATAATCTCAAATATATGCATGCTTGCATGTCTGCAAGCTTGAAAAAATTGGCCTGGTCGGCATGTAATCTGCTTTGTGTAGGACTTTGTCACAGATGAAGAAAACCATGTCACTTCAGTCACAGCTGGTGGAAAGCCTACATAAAGGAGAGTGTGTTATTTGGAACCAGTGACAGCCAGGACAGTTTGCCTTAGAATCCCCACTCCTTTCCTGATAAGTTATCCATCATGAGAAACAAATACAACTTCTTACAAAATGATATTTCTCCTCAAGCTTGTTGTAATAAGAACAACTTGATTGCACAAACATGCAGATCTGTGTGGTGTTGGCAGATCATATACTACACCTTATTGTTGTTAATACAGGGGCAGTTAATCTTTACATTTTAGTGTCATGCACACATAATTATAGTTGAGTAGTAATGATAGCTATCCCCTTGATAATCAGTACAGTGATTCTGCCGGCATGTGGCATTGGCAGTCTGCCTCAATGCTATTATCCTACCATGTCTCCTGTGCTGCCTCCCCTTTAGATCCCATGTGAGCACAGCCTGCCGAAAGTGCCAGACCCAGAGTCCATTGCGGAGTCTTACCTGAGCAAAAGAAGGCAATACATTTATGCCCATTCTGTACATGAGTTTTAGTGTTCCCGGTGTGAGAGTTAAAAAAATGTTTTGGTCAGGGTGTTGGTCTGTTTGAGACATGAGGATGTGTTATATTCTAGGTGACCATGGTTGTTCCTGGAGGGACAAAGGAAACACTTGCTGACATTCCGCACCATGTGTGGAAGAGCTTGCCCGACAGCATGAGACTAAGCCCCTCTGCTGTTGATCAAAGTCGCATTGGTGAGTTGAAAATTAGCTGCTTTGGGTTTGTTCTAACTTCACATTTTGGGTTTGTTCTAACTTTCAGTTTTATAGATAAGTGATCAATGATCATTTGTTAGTTGTAAAATTCAACTAGCAGCAGTACATCTTACGATAAGCAGTGAGTGGCTGTGTGGTTTCTGACTCTGTGGTGTTCGCTGGTGTGGTCTAGGGCCCTGTGTTTTGGTTGATAATGTCACATGACCTGGATTTTAACCTTTATTTGAACCTTTTTCCAGAAATGATAATTACACCAAAAATGAAAGCAGTTGTCTGAGGATGGTGCTAAACCATCTGACATAAAAAGAAAAAGGGGAAAGTTTGATGAAAAAGCTTTAAATAAAGGTTAAAATCCAGGTCATGTTAAATGATCAACCTAAACACAGGGCCCTAGGGGCTGGTGGAGCTCCTGATACTGATGACCATACAGTAACGACAAGTGATCACAAGGGAGAGGATGAACTAGATCTGGCAGTGGAAGCAGAGTACATTATGAAGGCTTTCAACTCAAGAAAAATAAGCATCTCCAGCCTGTCCTGGCTTGCCTCACAGAATCGGCACACCTTAACAAATGTTTTGAAGCCGAAAACTTCTCTATATTGCATGGTGAATTTTGGAATTTCATTCCACTCTTTTCCCCAGGTGTCTGGGCCTCTTGGTTCATCCCTAAAGGCAAGAGGTTAGGCCCGTTTGTATGAGAGAAGAAAAAGAGGTCCCAGGTGTCCAGCAATGTTTACATGTGGGAGGTGAGCAGCAGAGGATAGAGTGATAGCCTCAGATCTACCTTAACACACATTTAGGTTGTACACATTACAGGCACAGCACACCCTCCCTATTATATATATACACTGTTGTCCATTTTCATACATACATTTTTAAGATTATCGGCTAGATAACCAAACTGTCCTCTGTAGGTGTATTTTCCCGCCAGGGGCTGGATGTGTGTGGATGCCACAGACCCCATGAAGGGGAACTGGCTACGGTATGTAAACTGGGCAAACTCCACTCAAGAACAGAACCTTTTCCCCATGGAGATAAACCGAGCCATTTACTACAAAGTGTTACAGGTAAGTTAGACATTTAGTCTCACTGGTAAAATGTTATTCTTATTCAGTTGATCACTAAAGCAGAGTGATGGGATGGTTTGCTATTTAGGCATGTGAATTAGAGCGGGGCAATATGGACAAAAATCCCTATCTCGGTAAATTGCTTGAATTGATGCGATAACAATAAATAGACATTAATGTGCACCATAGTTTAAGAAAATTATCCTTTAAACTACTACTACTAGTTTGATGGTTGTAGCCATCAATTGTCCCATTAACTATCACCCATATAAGCAAAATTATTAAATTTCAAACTTAACATTTCTCTAGTATAGGCTACGTATTGTAATGAACGATATCAGCAAAATGCCTGCGATGAGTGATCTGTATGGTCAGTGTCGATCATTTTCGGTTTATCGTCCCAGCTCTAATGTGAGTATAGCGTATTGGCTATTTAGATCAAGTTTGTTTGGGGGTTATTCTTATTAAAGGGGCAATCAGCAGTTGCTACATCCATTTTTTGACTAATAAATTAATAATATGTACCCATTGATTCTTGAAGAATATAACTTCTAAATGCCTCATGAGCTTTTAGTTTAGCTGTCGTAACCCATCAGAACCGAAAATATAAGCTTGTTGTGATCCAAATACTATATAGCCTCAATCATGGTTAAAACTATCATTTGATGTCATGGATGGTTAGTCCTTGCATCCATAGCTCTGTCTATGAATTTGAGAGTGGTTACATTTGTCCAGCCCCAACCCTCAGCTTTTTACTGAAACAGGGGCGGGGACGGGGAAAAGCTTTGTTAGTGTTTCATCTGCTGATTGCTGCTTTAAAGCCAAATGAGAGAATTACAACCTTTTGGTCTTTACCATTTTAAGTGGCTCTTTCTATAATTCATGAACATTTTACATTTTTATGTTGTCTCTGGTATACCTGGGTAGGCTAATAAATAATTAACATAAAAGGAATTACATTTTAAAGTACAGTTTGCCACCCAACTACCTTAGCTACCAAAATGTCAAGACCTAACATTCCTGTTGTTGGACTCTGACTTGACAGACACAACAGGGGCCAAAATATTTCGTCCTGTCTTTCAACAAACTTGTCACTGATTGGTTCCCACTCTCATCTTTCCTTGTAACAGCCAATTGGGCCAGGGGATGAGCTGCTAGTGTGGTACAATGGGGAAGACAACCCTGAGATAACAGCTGCATTAGAGGAAGAAAGAGGCAGCAGTCTGAGCAAGAAAAATTCACCCAGGGCAAAGCGAGGTAAGGCGTACACCCCTAAAATACAAAAATCCTGTCTTAGATTTTGCAGGACATTATTTACCAAACTATTCGACACGATAGTTCGCAGTGGGTAGCAGCAGTCGAAGAAAATTGTATTTACGCCCATTCAAAGTTTAATTCTTGATAGCATGCTAACTAGCTAGCTTAGCTAACTGTAGCGAGGTGTTGGTGCAGTCAATTTTCCTTCCAAACTTTCAATCTCAAAAGGTTCGCTACTTTTATGTTACTGTTACTTCGTATAAAATAGTGTGATTGCAGCTAAATTGGTAGCTATTATGTAACAACACAGACAGTACGCCACTGTCAACATTAGCTAGTCAGCTAAATAAGTTAGCTAGCTAACTCAGTGCAATGGCTGGCTCGTCATGTCGTTTTATATGACGCGACCTTTCCAGATTTACAACTCAGTTGCGAGCCACGTTATCTGATCCGTTGATTACATTAGCTACTTACCTACATTTAAAAGGTATCCAGCTAGTTAGTTCTGTTACAATGCTTGCAGGTTATGGATTTCATAGTCTGATCTGTTTGTTTCGATCGGAGCTGTCAATCCAGTTCAGGTAGCTAGCAGGCTAGGTCAAGCCCGGACGTGCCAGACAACCCGTGCAGGGAAGATGGCAAGCGCTGGCTTTGTGTTCAGCAAATGGCTAACTGATCAAAACAGGTGCCGTTGTGATAAAGGGAAAAAGTAACTATGGTTGATAACTTAAGGTATGTGTCATAGATGTGTTGTAAACCCTTAACGTTAGCTACATCTAGTCAGCTACCCACTGCTAGCTAGCTAGCTGGATAAATTATCAATTCTGTTGGTGCCATCGCTAGGAATATATGCCTGCCCTGAAAATAAACACCCTTTGTTTTAGTTTTTTCGATGTAACCAAGACTACTTAGCTGAACGTTTATCTATTTTGTTCATTTCCCTAGGTAAGTGTGAGCTCTATTTTCATTTGGCCTGTGGAGGGTAGCTAGCTGCACTAGCTAATCAGCTAAAACCAATGCAAAGTTGAGGTAGTGCAGACTAGGCCCTGGATGAATGCAGTTGCACAAGCTCTGAAGTCCCACCCTTCCTTTCTCAACAATACTACACCTTCAGATTGAGTTGCATTTTTCATAATTATCTTTTGATTTAGGCTAGCTGCTAGAATGAAATACATAGAATTTGAGAATTATTTCTCCATGTAATTGGCCTAGTGTTTATCTTTCAATATGAAGGAAAGTGTAACTGTTGGTGGTATATCCACAGTAGCTACTGTAGGTCTATATGATTTTTAAGTTTGTGGTGTAGGCCTATGCATGCAACCCTTGTCTTTTTTGAATTTGCAGTATGATTTATTGACTCAGTGAGTTGTTGTTAGAAGTCTCAACATTCTGAATTCTGTAATATTGAGATTGAGTCTGCTTGTCATTCATCTGCAATCCCTCTATGATAAATTATATTAGCATATCTGTATTTTACAGAATGTATTTGACCATGCTGGTCAGATGACTGAGCTGTAGCATGTGTTTCTGTGGCATGAATCAGGGCTTTGTAGACCAGGCCAGATTACCTTCTTGTCACAGCAACTCCAGTGATGACTGGGTGCTAGCCCAGGCAGGCTGAGATTAAAACTCAAAATGGTCTCCTGCCTATGGGCATAAATACCGCAATGATGAGCCATTCCATAATTCTCTAAACATTTTTGTTTTCATTATGTATTTATTCTTGAAATATTCAGAATGAGGGCATCAAGGCTGTTAAAAGTAATTTAATTTAATTGTATTGGATGCTTAACTGACCTTTTAACCTGCGGCTGGTTGTAAAAAAAAAACATTGTTAATATTCAAAGAAAATTTTACATAAGCACACGTGGTACTTGACCTACATTTTTCATATCCTGTTCAGCAGTCATATCTTGCTTTGCTTTCTGTTAGCCACATTTTAATGTTATGAGTTTGTAATTCCATGTAGTTTTAAGTACCAACCAATACGCAGCACAGTTGTGAGTTGAGGTGTGAAAGTGAATTAGTACACTTCCCCCGCTAGATGTTCACTCATCTGAAAATATCCTTTCTAATAGTGGATTTACTTACATAGAAGTAGTCCAATGTCAACATTTGAAAGAACTAAATTCCACATCTTACCAGTATTGCTTTTGTGTGAAATGGTTTATTTGAGTTTAGCTAATGTTTGTTGGTTGGTGTGTGCTTTCCCCCATAGCCAGAAGAAAGCTGTTGGAGAGAGCCAGACAGGCTGGTTTGGGTGCATTCCGTGGGCCCAAGCAAACAGGCGTAACCAAACCTATTGTCAGAGAGATGTGGGACACAGAGGAAGGTTAGTAGTTGTCCCATTATTATGGATATTTGTGTAATTTGGGGAGTCAGTTCAGGTGTAACTAGGGCTATGGTGGTTATGACATTTTGTCAGCCAATTATTGTCATGCAAAAGACTGCCGGTCTTACGGTAATTTACCGTTAATTAACATAAACAAGTTTAGCATATCCAGGCCTCCACGTGTTCAAGCAGCTGATGTGCGCCTTTGGAACATCTACATTTAACAAGTTGAATAAATCAATGTAATATACACCATCATAATAAATCCATTATTTATTTTAGTCAGGACTAAAGAAACATTATGATATGAGGAAAATGTATTTTATAAGAACAGAAATGAGTTGGCCAACTGTTATCTGGCTATGCTCCATGCCATAGGCTGTAGGCTTGTTCATTTAGCTGACAAGATATGCTTGTAAGTCCCATGACATTATTTTATATTATATGATTTTATAGTAAGAAGAATATAATTGAACTTACCTGAATAAAATGAAGCAGGTGTGCATATGAAGTGGCTATGTTGAGCGTAAAAAGTGATCATTTAAAAAAGTTCCTATATGCTAGGTTTAGAGTTACTTGGCAACTTTAGTTGTGAATGATACAAACCTTAGAATGCATTATAAATCAAAACATATATGGGCTGCATGATGCGACTATAGGCTATTGATGATTTGAGAAATTCGCTAAAAAAGTTTGCTCTGTTCCTTGCATCAGGCTGCATAGCTGTTCTCTCATCAAGTGATCATATTTTCGCCCATCAGACTATTCTCAATTTAATCTTGTCTTTACTAATATGGCAAATGTGTTTCTATTTAGAATGGTCCATTATCAAATGGGCAGGGGCAGGAGAAAAATTACATGTCATATGTACAGTTGAAGTCGGAAGTTTACATACACTTAGGTTGGAGTCATTAAAACTCGTTTTTCAACCACTCCACAAATGTCTTGTTAACAAACTATAGTTTTGACAAGTCGGTTAGGATATCTACTTTGTGCATGACACAAGTTATTTTTCCAACAATTGTTTACAGACAGATTATTTCACTTATAATTCACTGTATCACAATTCCAGTGGGTCAGACGTTTACATACACTAAGTGGACTGTGCCTTTAAACAGCTTGGAAAATTCCAGAAAATTACGTCATGGCTTTAGAAGCTTCTGATAGACTAATTGACATCATTTGAGTCAATTGGAGATGTACCTGTGGATGTATTTCAAGGCCTACCTTCAAACTCAGTGACTCTTTGCTTGACATCGTAGGAAAATCAAAAGAAATCAGACCTCAGAAGAAAAATTGTAGACCTCCACAAGTCTGGTTCATCCTTGGGAGCAATTTCCAAACGCCTGAAGGTACCACGTTCATCTGTACAAACAATAGTATGCAAGTATAAACACCAGGGGACCACGCAGTTGTCATACCGCTCAGGAAGGAGATGCGTTCTGTCTCCTAGAAATGAATGTACTTTGGTGCGGGAGGAAACAAGTACCAAAGTATCTATATCCACAGTAAAATGAGTCCTATATATACCTGAAAGGCCGCTCAGCAAGGAAGTAGCCACTGCTCCAAAACCGCCATAAAAAAGCCAAACTTACGTTTGCAACTGCACATGGGGACAATGATTGTACTTTTTGGAGAAATGTCCGATGGTCTGATGAAACAAAAATAGAACTGTTTGGCCATAATGACCATCGTTATGTTTGGAGGAAAGGGGGGGGGGGGGGGGGGGGGGGTGCTTGCAAGCCGAAGAACAACATCATCCCAACTGTGAAGCACGGGGGTGGCAGAATCATGCTGTGGGGGTGTTTTGCTGCAGGAGGGACTGGTGCACTTCACAAAATAAATGGCATCATGAGGAAGGAAAATGATGTGGATATATTGAAGCAACATCTCAAGACATCAGTCAGGAAGTTAAAGCTTGGTCGCAAATGGGTCTTCCAAATGGACAATGACCCCAAGCATACTTCCAAAGTTGTGGCAAAATGGCTTAAGGACAACAAAGTCAAGGTATTGGAGTGGCCATCACAAAGCCCTGACCTCAATCCTATAGAAAATGTGTGGGCAGAACTGAAAAAGCGTGTGCGAGCAAGGAGGCTTACAAACCTGACTCAGTTACACCAGCTCTGTCAGGAGGAACGGGACAAAATTCACCCAACTTATTGTGGGAAGCTTGTGGAAGGCTACCCGAAACGTTTGACCCAAGTTAAACAATTTAAAGGCAATACTACCAAATACTAAAACTTCTGACCAACTGGGAATGTGAAGACATAAATAAAAGCTGAAATAAATATTATTTTCTGACATTTCACATTCTTAAAATAAAGTGGTGATCCTAACTGACCTAAGACAGGGAATTTTTACTAGGATAAAATGTCATGAATTGTGAAAAACTGAGTTTAAATGTATTTGGCTAAGGTGTATGTAAACTTCCGACTTCAACTGTACTCTTATAATCTCCACCCGGCACAGCCAGAAGAGGACTGGCCACCCCTCAGAGCCTGGTTCCTCTCTAGGTTTCTTCCTAGGTTCCTGCCTTTCTAGGGAGTTTTTCCCTATGCACTGGAACAGTGAATGGTGGCCTCACGCTTTCCCGGTGGTCAGTTTTTTCAATGATGCCCGGAAGGCTCCTTCGGTTTTATAGCGGAGCATGTGCTTAGAATGAGCAGCTGAGAAATAAATATAAGAACACTTATTTCACTCGCCACAACCACTGTTTGAGGAGCATGCTCTCCCTACGCAACAGGTGATATTCCGCCCAAACTATGGACAGTGGGGAGAACAAGTATTTGATACACTGCCAATTTTGCAGGTTTTCCTACTTACAAAGCATGTAGAGGTCTATAATTTTTTATCATAGGTACACTTCAAATGTGAGAGACAGAATCTAAAACAAAAATCCAGAAAATCACATTGTATGATTTTTTAGTAATTAATTTGCATTTTATTGCATGACATAAGTATTTGATCACCTACCAACCAGTAAGAATTCCGGCTCTCACAGACCTGTTAGTTTTTCTTTAAGAAGCCCTCCTGTTCTCCTGTTCTACCTGTATTAACTGCACCTGTTTGAACTCGTTACCTGTATAAAAGACACCTGTCCACATACTCAATCAAACAGACTCCAACCTCTCCACAATGGCCAAGACCAGAGAGCTGTGTAAGGACATCAGGGATAAAATTGTAGATCTGCACAAGGCTGGGATGGGCTACAGGACAATAGGCAAGCAGCTTGGTGAGAAGGCAACAACTGTTGGCGCAATTATTAGAAAATGGAAGAAGTTCAAGATGACGGTCAATCACCCTCGGTCTGGGGCTCCATGCAAGATCTCACCTCATGGGGCATCAATGATCATGAGGAAGGTGAGGGATCAGCCCAGAACTACACAGCAGGACCTGGTCAATGACCTGAAGAGAGCTGGGACCACAATCTCAAAGAAAACCATTAGTAACACACTACACCGTCATGGATTATAATCCTGCAGCGCACGCAAGGTCCCCCTGCTCAAGCCAGCACATGTCCATGCCCGTCTGAAATTTGCCAATGACCATCTGGATGATCCAGAGGAGGAATGGGAGAAGGTCATGTGGTCTGATGAGACAAAAATATAGCTTTTTGGTCTAAACTCCACTCGCCGTGTTTGGAGGAAGAAGAAGGATGAGTACAACCCCAAGAACACCATCCCAACCGTGAAGCATAGAGGTGGAAACATCATTCTTTGGGGATGCTTTTCGCAAAGGGGACAGGACGACTGCACCGTATTGAGGGGAGGATGGATGGGGCCATGTATCGCGAGATCTTGGCCAACAACCTCCTTCCCTCAGTAAGAGCATTGAAGATGGGTCGTGGCTGGGTCTTCCAGCATGACAACGACCCAAAACACACAGCCAGGGCAACTAAGGAGTGGCTCCGTAAGAAGCATCTCAAGGTCCTGGAGTTGCCTAGCCAGTCTCCAGACCTGAACCCAATAGAAAATCTTTGGAGGGAGCTGAAAGTCCGTATTGCCCAGCGACAGCCCCGAAACCTGAAGGGTCTGTATGGAGGAGTGGGCCAAAATCCCTGCTGCAGTGTGTGCAAACCTGGTCAAGACCTACAGGAAACGTATGATCTCTGTAATTGCAAACAAAGGTTTCTGTACCAAATATTAAGTTCTGCTTTTCTGATATATCAAATACTTATGTCATGCAATAAAACGCAAATTAATTACTTAAAAATCATACAATGTGATTTTATGGATTTTTGTTTTAGATTCCGTCTCTCACAGTTGAAGTGTACCTATGATTAAAAATTACAGACCTCTACATGCTTTGTAAGTAGGAAAACCTGCAAAATCGGCAGTGTATCAAATACTTGTTCTCCCCACTGTATGCCATGGGCTCTCCAACCCTGTTCCTGCAGCTACCCAGTGCTAAATTTGTTTAATTTTGGAGTATAGGTTAGACCAATTATGTACCAAAGACATCTTAAATCAGTTTTATGTTTTTCAGCCATGCGTAATATGCTGTAGGCTATGTATTGTATAATGACACAATCATCATTTTAATTCAGGGTTTTTTTCAGGCTTGGGCTCATATGCATAAACTCTAATATGCGTATGCCCGCAGCAGCCCTAGGTATAAGCTAGTTAAGTCCTGTTATTCATGTATTTCAATTTTTTTGTTGTTGTTACATTTAAATTAAATGATGTAACTGTAACTCTGTCGTTCTGCTGTTGTAGGTCCAAATGACGAGGACGAGAGACTCTCCACATCAACAGGGCCTTCCAAGGGGACTCGGGAGAGCTCCCCCATGGGGAGTAACGGCCTCTCTCAAGCCCAGTTCATCTCAGCAGCAATGAGAGGGGAAGAGGAGGAGGGTGATGAAGAGGAAGACCTAGGGGATCTGCAGCAGCCGCCGTCGCTGACACTACAGCGTGCTCAGTCTGCTACTGAAGCTGAGCCGGAGGAGAAGATTGAGCAGCCTGATCTGCCACTAAGCCATAGCAGCCCAGTTGAGGAGGGGCCTGGGAGCCTTCAGCATGACACTGAGACTGCCTCATCCCTATCAAGGCCTGAACCAGAGGCAGACCCTGACCCCGACCCTGACCTGGAAGGTGACCCCCACGGAGAGGAGTCCCATCCCTGCCAGCACTGCGAGCGCCATTTCTCCACCAAACAGGGCCTAGAGCGCCACACACACATCCATGCCACTGCAAACCAGCAAACACACACATTCAAATGCCGCTACTGTGGCAAGTCCTTCGGCTCGCAGGTGGGGCGTCGGCGCCACGAGCGGAGGCATGAGAACGGGCCAAAGAACAAAGGCCAAAGGCCTGGCTCACTAGCTGGGACTGCTACTTTACTCACTCCTCTGGGGCAGGCTGGTGGCCACTATGTGGTCAGGGGCTCCCCTGTCCCTGGAGGACCTATGCAGAGCCTTGAGGTTGTGAGGAAGGACCCTGCGGCTGAGAGTGACCGGCCCTTTATCGTGGATGAGAATGGTGAGACAAAGGAGCTTCATCCTTGCAAGTACTGTAATAAGGCTTTCGGCACTCATACCAACATGCGCAGACACCAGCGCAGAATCCACGAGCGCCACTTACTGCCCAAGGGTGTCCGCAGGAAAGGCATGCTGCTGCAGGAAAGCCCATCCCAGCAGCAGCAGCATCATCTGCCTGAACAGTCCCCTAGCGCCAGCCCACCCCTCGTCTATGTGCCCAGTGCAGACACTGAGGATGAGGGGGACCGAGAGGAGTACATGGTCGACATATCCAATAACATCTCAGAGAATCTCAGCCTGTACATCGACGGCAAGATCCTGTCCACTAGTTCAGTCAGCGGCTGTGAGGTGATCGAAGTGGACTCCAGTTCTGCAGCACTGTTTGGTCTCGATGCAGTGATGATCAGCCCCAATCAGATCAGTCAGGCTCTCAAAGTGGACACCAGGACATGTGCTGTGAAGCAGGTCTCGAATCTCAGCCAGCCCATGACGAAAAGGAGAACGTCGACACCCCCGCTCATGCCCAGTCTTAAAATGGAGTCTGAAACTGGGTCCTCTTCCGCCTCCTCGTCTTCCTCATCCGCCTTGTTGGTGGGAAGTGTCTTCCCTCAGTCCTCAGACTCATTAGCATTTCAAAAGGAGAAAACGGTTTATCTGTCTCCTAAGCTCAAACAGCTCCTCCAGACCCAGACAGACAATCAGAAACCCACCATCACCCTGATAGCAGAGAGGCACAGATTAGCTCCCCCTCTCTCCGTTACATTGCTGCCTGCAGCCTCAGGCAGGTTTAAGAGAAGAACAGCTTCCCCCTCCTCATCTCCACAGTGCAGCCCTGCGCTGAAAGCAGACGGCTGTAAGAGCGAGGCGGGGGTCTCGTCGTACACCCTCAAAGTGCCAAATCTGGAGAGCCTGGGCATGTCCCCTGCCTGGAGTCTGTCCAGCAAGGAGGAGAGGGACACTGTGAGTCCCAGCGGGAAGGATGGGTGCAGCTGGCCTGCCTCTCGGACCGGAGGGAACTCGTGTAATCAGCATCCCTTGGACCTGTCCAGCGGCATCAGCAAGAGGAGTGACAGCTTCAGCAAGACGCCCGGGGAGGCAGTGCTGGATTTAAGCATGAGTCGGAAGAGTACAGCGGAGCCAGAGTCTAAGGGAAGTCCATCTCCGGCACAGCCCCCCACCAAGAAGAAGAAGCCTAACACCAGCATGCTAGAGAAAGTGTTGATGAATGAGTATGCTGGCTTAAACCCAGCAGAAGAGGAGGGCTCTTCTCCCTTGGGAAGCCCAGATTCTCAGTATACTTCAGGCAGTGGTACAGGCACCGCTTCTCACAGTCCCTCTTCCAATCTGCCCTCTGAATCAGCCCATCCCTCTCCCCCCTCTCTAACGCCTGTCACTATGAATCCCTCCTCCCCTTGCGGCTCCAGTCTGACCTCTCCAACGCCACCTCCCCCTGTCCTACCCACCATGCCCTCACCAGACTGCCCTACGCTCAGCTCTCTCCCTGTCCTCTCCCCCAAAATGTCCCCCAGATCCATCGACCATGGTGAGGATGAGCCAGTTTGCATATCGAACTCTACCACAGCAGAGACAATGTTAGCTGCAGTAAGTAACAGTTATAGAGATGAGGAACATATCACTAAGCCAATAGACTCCACCCACAATACAGATCCCCTTACCAGGGAAGCTATATCAAGCCCCTCTACAGAGCCCTCCTCTGTATCTGATGCTGTCGCTCTGAGTCAGTCCTCAACACAATCGAAACCTGCAAGGATTGGGAACCAAAGTTCGGTGGATGTCCAAATTAATCAAGACCTGGAACTGATTATTACTGAGGGACAGGAGAAATCCCAATGCTCTGAACTCCCTGTTTTATCATCCGTAACAGAATCCCTCCTCTCTGCCTCGTCGACCTCGCCTGCTGCCATATCAGATATCCCAGCTCCACCAGTGGTCTCCCCACCATCACTCTCTAGCACTGTGATTAAAGGGGAGCCCCAGCACAATGATCAGCTGGCTGACTTAGTCCTTTCTCCTAGTGGCACAGGGTCTTCACCTCTGTCTGCTGCTGCTGACTCGTCGTTGTCGGAAGAGGAGGAAGAGGGATCGGAGCCAGAGCCCTTCAGTAAGACATTTGTGTGTAATGTGTGTGAGGACCCCTTCCGTTCCATCAAAGAGCTCAGTCGGCACATCCTAGAGCACGCCGCTGAGTGGCCCTACAAGTGTGAGTTCTGTGTGCAGCTGTTCGGGAACGCCCCGGCTCTGCTGGAGCACCGCACGGCCCTCCACGGCGTGGGACGCATCTTTGTCTGCTCCGTCTGCTCTAAGGAGTTTGCCTTCCTCTGCAACCTCCAGCAGCACCAGAAGGACCTGCATCCCAGCCAGCCGTGCACACACACAGCGGTGGAGAGCGGCAAGCCGAGGCCACAGAACTACACAGACCCAGCCAGGGCCAAAGAGGAGAGTAACCCGTCCTCAACCACAGCCATAGGGCCTGAGTCCTCTGCTGAAGTTGCCTCCTCCCAGGGGGTCTCCGATGTGAAGAAAGAGGAGCAGCCTGATACTAATGGGAAGCATGAAGAGGATGGACTGGAGGACCCAACTGAAGAGCTGTACACTACTATAAAGATCATGGCCTCTGAGGGAGGCAAGCCTAAAGGCCCAGATGTACGCCTGGGCATTAATCAACACTACCCCAGTTTCAAGCCACCCCCCTTCCCCTACCACAACCGCACGGCTGCAGGCTCGGTGGCCTCGGCCACCAACTTCACTACACACAACATCCCCCAGACATTCAGCACTGCCATCCGCTGCACCAAGTGCGGCAAGAGCTTCGACAACATGCCCGAGCTGCACAAGCACATACTAGCCTGTGCCAACGCCAGTGATAAGAGGCGGTACACTCCCAAGAAGAACCCCATCCCTCTCAGACAGATAGTGAAGCCTCAGAACGGAGCTCTGTCGCCTGCCTCTGCTGCCAACGCAGGGCACAACGCCTTCCGCAGAATGGGCCAACCCAAGAGGCTCAACTTCAACCAAGAACCTCCTGGCAAAACCAAGATGAGTTCCCTCGGTAAGAAGAAGAACCAGCTGGTCCAGAAGGCCGTAACTCAGAGGAATGAGACTGCTGCTACTGCTAACAAGGCCCCTAGCCAGGTTAAAGAGGAGACGCCACAAGAGCAGGAGATCCACGTATGCCCTCACTGCAGCCGAGAGTTCACCTACCCTGCCAGCCTCAGTAAACATATAGCAGGCAGCTGCCCCATGAAGCCTGTCTCTAAAAAGGCCAAAAAGGGAGCAGCAGCAGAGGCAACACCAGCTGTAGACAAAAACATGAGCCTTCGAAGGAGAACCACAGACTCTGAGATCCAGCAGCCAGAGCCGGTTCCCAAAACGCTTAGCAAAACCCGGGCTCGCAACTCTGGACCTGTCCCTGCGGAGGCTGAGGCCCCACCACCGGTGGGTAAAGGAAAGACGGCTGCCACACAGGTGTGCACCAAGAGGCCAGCCTCTTTCCCAGCTGCCACAGTTTCTCTCAGCAAGAAAAGTAAAAAAGGCAAAGTTCAATCCTTACCCCCCACCCCGTTGCCCTCCGAGACTCCCAGTGACTCTGCACTGCGGCCAGCAGCTCAGACAAAGCAACGCATGGGCAAGGAAGTGCAACCCAAGAAGGGAGCAGAGGTGAAATCACCCCCACAGCAGCAGTCTCAGGTGCCGCCTAAGAAAGAAGGGGAACGGTTCTCTCTGCGAGCGAGGGAGAGAGCTGTTGGGCCGGTGACCCGGAGCCTACAGATGGCCAACACTGCAGCTCCTGTGGAGGTGAAAACAGAGGACCTCTCCAGCCAGGAGGCTAAAGAGACCCAGGTAATGTTACTTTCAAACAGTGTCCAGTCTCAGCCCATGTAGAATTATTACCTAATTCATTCATACTTTCAACACAACGTGGTTCTATTAATCAGGTTCTGTGTTGCACTTCAAGGTAGAGAAGACGTATGTATAACTGTAGTTGATACTTGTTGATATCTTGATTTGTTGTCTCGTGTCTTCCAGGAGTACTTGCTGAAATGAACCAGGTAGGGCAATGTGGATTCTGAGGATTAAGAAGTCCCTGGCTAGGAGGATGACTCTGTGCTGGCTCACCTCTGAGGAGAAACTCTGGCCTTCCCAACACTCTGACAAACAGACAGGCAGAGAGACGGACAGACAGGAGGATCTGGAGGTGGGCTGGCTCAGTTAAAGGACAACGTGAACTCTGCTCCCATCACATCACATCACACGCTGTGTTGGCTGAACAGAGGGAGGGGCACCTGTCTCTACATCACTCTCTGTGAAATGAGCCTGAGACAAAAAAGTAACGATTAACAGACTGTTAATGACAATGAATAAATATAATATATATATAAATATATATTGTAAGTCATAACTTGACTCGTAACATTGATATTGGGGTTCCGTAACGGTTAAAAGCTGATATTGCAAATGGCAATCATTTATATCCGTTCACAAAACTGGTCTGGTGTTTCTTTCCCTCCGTTTTCATGTTTCCCTTGTTTGGTCGTTGAGATGTCGGAGGATTCAACAGTCTCTTAATGCATGTGCTGAATCCAGTATAACTAGAAAGAGCCCTTGTCCCTCGTCTGTGTGTCCCATGTTAAGTCCTGCACCTACTTTAATGTAAATTAATATGTAATGTTCCGTTGAGAATACATTGTAGAATATCTCTTTTAAGCAGATTTTTTAATTTTTGTTTGGGAAGCCAAGATAAAACGGAACTGTTTTCAACTGTAGAAATAGGTTGTCAGAAACGGCGTGTCCCAAGAGTGTGTGTATATGTGTTCAAATGTGCGTATGGGTAGGCTTGTACCGTATGTGTGGGCTGACAACCATTTGCCCCTTGATCTCAAAGTTTGAGATGTCTGTTTTCTCTCTGGCATGTTTTCCTTATTTTGCTTATCAGAGGTGTACCAGTAGGGCACCCTGCCACAACTAGAACAATGCATCCGTACACCTCTGACAGTTAGTTCCCTGAGAAGGGATGGGGAAGAAACACTGCCACTTATCCAGTTTATTGACATTGTGGATTTCTCAGAGGCTCACATTTTGATGTCATACATAGTTATAAGTAGTCCCGTCTTGTCTGAAAGCACTTTAAAAAGAACATCTGCCAAACTGTTTTGATTTGATCGGTATGAATCCTTAAATTATGTGGGTTTAAATGTGAAGAATGGGATGTTGACATTTCTATTGCATATGACTGAAACTGGGTTGCCTCAGAAAGTCTTTGAAATGTAGTCATTGGAATATTGCCCTCATTTAAGACTCCCTATAGATTAGCATGTTTGTATTGTTCCCAAGACTTGATTTCATCTGTATGATGTAATCAAATGCATTAATCTGAAATATGTAGCAGCGATAATCATGAGTGGAGGATTGCCAAAATGTTCCACCATGATGATGTTCGGAAATATTAGAAAAGGTTTGAAAATTGTCCTGGCTGTAGATGTGGAGAGCAGTAGCCACCCAGTAATAAGGATGGCATTGAAAAGTTGCTTCAGTTCTAATGTTCCTTGCAGCGGTTAACATGCCACAGTAAGGTAATTGGATTGCTGGTTATTTCTGTACCTAAAGTCAAGGGTGGCTGGGAGGTAGTGTATCTTCTTTAATGGGATCTACATGTAGGCCTGTTACATGTTATAACATACTTTGACAAAGTATTGTACTTTGATTATGATTAGTCTCTATCTACCCCATGATCTGCTATGTAGAGGGATTCTCCCATCTCTCCCTGTTTACAATGTTCACTCCACTGTTGCTCCTTCTGGACCATCTGCCTTTTACAGCTGAGGTAGAAGAGTGGGATACGACTCAAGTGCTTGTAGCATGTTTGAAAAAAACTGTAATTGAACTATATATATTAGAAAGCTAATTTATCATATTTCCGTTGCCTTCCTGCATCGGTATTCCTGATAATTCTCTTCGGAGTGAAATTAATGGAGAATCTTCTAATATATGTTTGAGGATGAATGAACAAAGACATATCCCTGTTGACATCATTATGTAAAACATATTGTTCTAATTGATATATTAAAGCCTTTTTCAATTTGGCGTCTGTGTGCTGCCATGTATGATTTAATATGTTTTGGTTATGTCCTTTTTAACTTTAGTCATCGTACTTTCGGGCATCTGTTTGAGCCAGTTGAGGCACAGATTTGCTAATCTTGATCATAAGGTGGTGAGTATTTGGGCCTATTTGGGATGCATAGTGATATGTCGATCAGTAATTATGCAGTCTGACTGCAATGCAGTCTATTTCAGACACACTGATACACTACTTATATATACAGTGCATTCGGAAAGTATTCAGACCCCTTGACCTTTACATTTTGTTACGTTACAGCCTTATTCAGTTGTTTTCCTCATCAATCTACAGTCGTGGTCAAAAGTTATGAGAATGACACAAATACTAATTTTCACAAAGTCTGCTGCCTCAGTTTTGATAATGGCAATTTGCATATACTCCAGAATGTAATGAAGAGTGATCAGATGAATTGCAATTAATTGCAAAGTCCCTCTTTGCCATGAAAATGAACTTAATCCCCCAAAAACATTTCCACTGCATTTCAGCCCTGCCACAAAAGGACCAGCTGCCATCATGTCAGTGATTCTCTCGTTAACACAGGTGAGAGTGTTGACGAGGACAAGGCTGGAGATCACTCTGTCATGCTGATTGAGTTAGAATAACAGACTGGAAGCTTTAAAAGGAGGGTGGTGCTTGAAATCATTGTTCTTCCTCTGTTAACCATGGTTACCTGCAAGGAAACACGTGCCGTCATCATTGCTTTGCACAAAAAGTGCTTCACAGGCAAGGATGTTGCTGCTAGTAAGATTGCACCTAAATCAACCATTTATCGGATCATCAAGAACTTCAAGGAGCGAGGTTCAATTGTTGTGAAGAAGGCAACAGGGCACCCAAGAAAGTCCAGCAAGCGCCAGGACCGTCTCCTAAAGTTGATTCAGCTGCGGGATCGGGACACCACCAGTGCAGAGCTTGCTCAGGAATGGCAGCAGGCAGGTGTGAGTGCATCTACACGCACAGTGAGACGAAGACTTTTGGAGGATGGCCTGGTGTCAAGAAGGGCAGCAAGGAAGCTACTTCTCTCCAGGAAAAAACATCAGGGACAGACTGATATTCTGCAAAAGGTACAGGGATTTGACTGCTGAGGACTGGGGTAAAGTCATTTTCTCTGATGAATCCCCTTTCCGATTGTTTGGGGCATCCGGAAAACACCTTGTCCGGAGAAGACAAGGTGAGCGCTACCATCAGTCCTGTGTCATGCCAACAGTAAAGCATCCTGAGACCATTCATGTGTGGGGTTGCTTCTCAGCCAAGGGAGTGGGCTCACTCACATTTTTGCCTAAGAACACAGCCATGAATAAAAAATGGTACCAACACATCCTCCGAGAGCAACTTCTCTCAATCATCCAAGAACAGTTTGGTGACGAACAACGCCTTCTCCAGCATGATGGAGCACCTTGCCATAAGGCAAAAGTGATAACTAAGTGGCTCGGGGAACAAAACATCGACATTTTGGGTCCATGGCCAGGAAACTCCCCAGACCTTAATCCCATTGAGAACTTGTGGTCAATCCTCAAGAGGCGGGTGGACAAACAAAAACCCACAAATTCTGACAAACTCCAAGCATTGATTATGCAAGAATGGGCTGCCATCAGTCAGGATGTGGCCCAGAAGTTAATTGACAGCATGCCAGGGCGGATTGCAGAGGTCTTGAAAAAGAAGGGTCAACACTGCAAATATTGACTCTTTGCATAAACTTAATGTAATTGTCAATAAAAGCCTTTGACACTTATGGAATGCTTGTAATTATACTTCAGTATACCTTAGTAACATCTGACAAAAATATCTAAAAACACTGAAGCAGCAAACTTTGTGAAGACCAATACTTGTGTCATTCTCAAAACTTTTGACCACGACTGTACACACAATACCCCATAATGACAAAGCAAAAACAGGTTTTTAGACATTTTTGGCAAATTAAAATAAACTGAAATATCACATTTACATAGGTATTCAGACCCTTTACTCAGTACCTTGTTGAAGCACCTTTGGCAGCGATTACAGCCATAAGTGTTCTTGGGTATGACGCTACAAGCTTGGCACACCTGTTTTTGGGGAGTTTCTCCCATTCCTCTCAAGCTCTGTCAGGTTGGATGGGGAGCGTTGCTGCACAGCTATTCTCAGGTCTCGCCAGAGATGTTCGATCGGGTTCAAGTCCGGGCTCTGGCTGGGCCACTCAAGGACATTCAGAGACTTGTCCCGAAGCCACTCCTGCTGTGTGCTTAGGGTCGTTATCCTGTTGGAAGGTGAACGTTCGCCCCCAGTCTGAGATCCTGAGTACTCTGGAGCAGGTTTTCATCAAGGATCTCTCTGTACTTTGCGCCGTTCATCTTTCCCTTGATCGTAACTAGTCTCCCAGACCCTGCTGCTGAAAAACATCCCCACAGCATGATACTGCCACCACCATGCTTCACCGTAGGGATGGTGCCAGGTTTCCTCCAGACGTGACGCTTGGAATTTAGGGCAAAGAGTTCAATCTTGGTTTCATCAGACCAGAGAATCTTGTTTTTCATGGTCTGAGAGTCCTTTAGGTGCCTTTTGGCAAACTCCAAGCGGGCTGTCATGTGCCTTTTACTGAAGAGTGGCTTCCGTCTGGCCACTCTACCATAAAGGCCTGATTGGTAGATTGCTGCAGAGATGGTTGTCCTTCTGGAAGGTTATCCCATCTCCACAGAGGAACTCTGGAGCTCTATCAGAGTGACCATCAGGTTCTTGGTCACCTCCCTGACCAAGGCCCTTCTCCCCAGATTGCTCAGTTTGGCTTTGCGGCCAGCTCTAGGAAGAGTCTTGGTGGTTCCAAACTTCTTTCATTTAAGAATGATGGAGGCCACCGTGTTCTTGGGGACCTTCAATGCTGCATAAATGTTTTGGTGCCCTCCCCCTCCCCAGACCTGAGCCTCGACACAATCCTGTCTTGGAGCTCTACGGACAATTCCTTCGACCTCATGGCTTGGTTTTTACTCTGTGTGCCTTTCCAAATCATGTCCAATCAATTGAATTTACCACAGGTGGACTCCAATCAAATTGTAGAAACATCTCAAGGATGCACCTGAGCTCAATTTCGAGTCTCATAGCAAAGGGTCTGAATACCTATGTAAATAAGGTATTTCAGTTTTTTTATTTTTTATAAATTAGCAAAAATGTCTAAAAACATGTTTTCGCTTTATGTCATTATGGGGTATTGTGTGTAGATTGATGAGGGGAAATGTTTTATTTAATCAATTTTAGAATAAGGCTGTAACGTAACAAAATGTGGAAAAAGGGAAGGCGTCTGAATACTTTCTGAATGCACTGTATATAGGTAAGACTACAGTATGACAAGCGGATTGATGACACTACTTCAGTAAGATGGGAGAGCGGTCATCCCAAGGAGAATGTGCCATTAGAACGTCTCTGACTTTGATGGTCTTTCATCTGATCTAAATACATTACGTGCAATATGACAAGCAGGTGGGCCAATCCTTTATCCTGCCTTATCTTCTCGTCATGCCGAAGAATATATATTAATTTCTTCATTAAAGAACAAAAGTTGTTTGAAGCATGATCAGCCCCCTCTAGATGAACTATCTTGCTGTAATGCTTAAGCTGTAGTCTATCATTATTATTTGTTTGCTGTAGAGCCAGAATATTACCTGAGGCATTGCTGCTGGAATCGGGATGTGCTCAGAATGCCAAAAGCTCTGTTTATTTATTCCCTAGTCTACCCTTGACAGAGTACATAATGTAATATTCTGGGTGCCCAATGAAGCTAGGCTTATCTTGGCATTGACAAGTTGCGCCCAACTGAAAGGCTCTCTTTAAAAAAAAAAAGTTTAGATAGATACAGTAATCAAGGTGTATCAAAAGTTCTATTACTTTTCCCTAAGTATATATAGACTGTCAGAGAACCATGGCAGGCTTCCTGGTTCCTGTGATTTGAGTCTATTTTGAGAGCAGCACACTTGTCAGTAAGTTTGACATGTGAGTCATCTCATGCGTACAGCCCTCGCCTCGTTCCTCTGCTTGGGTGATACCTTGTGCAAGTCCTGTTCTGTGACAGGCAATAGAGCCTTTACACTTTCCAGTCAGCCTCATGAACAACAATGGCCTGTGTGCAAATTAGTCCTGAGTCACCTATCAGTATGCAAACTGCTGAAGAGTCACTGTGAATGTTCTACTTGAAAGTTATGAGCACTGCATACAAATTGCATCAGATGTATTCTGACAGTGGAATCGCTATCTTTGTTCCAGGAGCTGTATTGTTCCAGTGCAGCTTGACCAGGAAATGACCTCATCAGAAAATCAAGGTGATGGCCAGGACAGTGACCTTGAGACATCTGAGACTGGTGCTATAACAGCAACACAACAGTTAGACATCAATATGAACAGAGGTCAGAGAGTTAATAATAGATTTCAGTACTACAGTAAAAGCTTTAAAGTAAAATATAAATGTTTACCATCTGCCATTAAATTACACTATATTTACAAAATGTCCTCCAAATACCAATTGTGCTTTGCTGTATGTATTTTTCATATTTCAAATGCGAATTGTGAGCTTTGTTTTCAGGTTTTTACAGCATGCAGTCTAAACTTCACCAGTGATGGAGTGCATTCATCTGACATGAACCCTGAATACATTTATTTAGAGGTGTAAACTTTGGTGCTGATGTTGGACATGGCGGCGATTCTCTAACCACTTCATCAATCCTGCCTGTCTTTTCCATTATTGCTGCTGTCAGTCATCAGAGAGACTACACTCGCTGTAGTCCACAGGGCTTATATATTATGCCACTATGTGAGTTTCTACTACACCCTCCCTCTGTTTGATTTAAATAAGGATAGCAATATTATTGGTACCATATTGTTCTTGGAGAACATTCTATTCAGTCTTTCACTGTCTTTTTAGATCTGTATCATACCATGGACAAAGTCTCATTCACAGTGAAATACAACACCTGTCTTGTACTGGCAAATAAAGCAGGGTAGCTTACTGGATGGAATGCTGTTGCATCTCCATCACATTGATGCTGCGTTGCCATGAATACGCTTAGAGTCAGATTCTGGCCTGTGCTGAAATTCATTTTGTCCAAGGCCCATCTGTCACACTCTCTCACACGCATTAATGGGCTAGGATTTGATTAGATTTTTGATTGATCAAGCCCACTCACTAGACGAGCTGCAACAGCAGCATTAAACCGTACTAGTCACAGGAGACTTGGAATGTCTTTAGGAGAAGAACTCCTCTAATGAATGTTTCACTAGATAGGTGTGTGGAGCTATAAGGTCTATAGATGAATGAGGAATTGAATGTAATGTGTGAATTTGATTTGAGAGGGTCTTTATTCAGTGGGATGGTGCGACGTGTTTATCTTCCCCCTGGTGCCATGGTGGTTTGGTTTATGGTTCCCCTGTGGGTCGGTGTTGTTGTTTATGGGTGCTCTGCAGCGTGTGTGTGTGGAGAGGAGCGCTGCGCCATGCCCCAGCTGTCAGAATGAAATATCACTGCACTCCTGATTGCTGTGTACAGGGCCTCAGCCGGATTCATAAAAATGCAATCCCATGCAGCTCTGTACCAGGCTTGCAGGAAGCACTAAATAAACTATGATACAGAGGAAAGCAGGCAGATTTAGAAAGTACTAATGCTGCAGATATAAAGTACCACGCAAATTCAGCATAACCAGATGTACATAACACCATAAGACCACAGTATTCATCGTTGGTGAATTTAGACAGGAACCTATCCTGTTTCTAAAGGGGTGCAATTTCTGCGGTGTTGTAAGCCCCATTGCTCTGTAACCTCCATTGTTCCAAACACTCAGCTGCTCTTAAACCCTGAGGAGCATGGTAGTCAGTCGTCTCTATAGAACGTGTCAGCGAGCTCTGTGGGAGGGGCATGACTGCTGCTGCTCACACATCACAGCACACAGCCTTCTGTGTCCTAAAAAAGCCTTCCCAGTCCTGAATTCCTGTTCAAAGAGAATGGCATTAAAGCCAACGAAGTTCGAGAGGGGATGAATAATGAATTCCAACGGGCATCACTCTGAGTTAGGCAGAGATTTCAGTGAGGAGCCATCTTCTCTGTGTCTGTTGTCATTGCTCATGTCATGCAACAGCTGAGCCTGTACCAGAGACTCAGTTTATATCTGGCCCTATACGATCTATTTGCCTCTGTTCGTCTGCATGAGTGTTTGTGAGATAAGGGTACTTTTCAGTTACCTACACTTGTGTGTATGAGGTTAACTGTTCACCTACTTGAATGTCTTAGATTGGCTGAATATTCACCTGCAGACAGTAATGTGTATGCCTATTGGCTAATTATTTACATGACAAGCTAACGTTTATGGCCAGATCTTTTTTTAACCTTTAGCCAGCCAGTCGAGAGCTGATCTCCCACTGTTGGAGTGTCCTGTTCTAACGTTTCCTTTTTTAAAACATTTAAAAAAGGAGGATGTGAGTTCTATGGCCAGGTCCCCTCTGTGTACACTGTTAACAGCACAGCAGTGTGAGAGAGGTCTCAGTGACAATGGGCTTCCTAGGAACGTTTTGCTAACAGGGAAATAGCCTATTAATCGGAGGAGATGGCTGACATCCTGCAGAAGGTTCAGGACCTGAACAGAACAGAGAAAGAGAGGTGGACTCACTGAGAGCAATATGGGTTCTGTGCCATAATTGTATAGGAATAATAGTGTCATCATTTGTCTGAGGGTGGAGGTTTCCATGCCAACACCTACATAAATAATGGGCACTGTACGCTTCAAGGTGCCTCAGGATCTGAGGTAATATTCTCTCAATTGAATTGGATATTCCCTTCATTTCAACAGGTGGACATTTATGTGTTTTCAGATGGGTATAATCATTGGCACTCATCTCATTAAGTGCAATTTGTCAAATGCAACAGCAGAGCAGTTTGTTTACACACTACATGTAACATAGTGTAATACAGGGCCTCCTGTAGCTCAGTTGGTAGAGCATGGCGCTTGCAACGCCAGGGTTGTGGGTTCGATTCCCATGCGAGGCCAGTATGAAAAATGTATGCACTCACTAACTGTAAGTCGCTCTGGAGAAGAGCGTCTGCTAAATGACTAAAATGTAATACATTTAGAATGGTTTCAAGTAAGCTACTTGCTCGTTTTCAGTTTGTTTTCGGTTGAGTTTTTTGAAGGTGAAGCCTTAGGTGACAAATATAGAATTCATACTTGTATGCAACCTCTTTCTCCCTCATCCCTTTTTCCAGCACCAGGGAGAAATGAAGAGCTAAGGTTGCAGAAATCCGTTTCTCAGCAGCAGCTCCGGCTCTAAGACCGATAGAGGGGGTTTGCATGGGGGGGGGGGGCGAGAGATGTTATTGCCGAAGCACAGCAAATGAGGGCTGTAAAGAGGGGAGGATTGAGGAAGGGAGGGGAGAAAGGGGGCATACTCAACAGATCAGAGAACAACAATCGTCTTTCCACCACCCATGGCCAGAGTACAGAGGCTCCTGCCTACTGCCTACACCCAGGGAGGAAGAGAGAGAGGGAGGGAGTTGTGACTTTCACCTGCTGGAGACACCAGCCTGTCTCTGCTCTGCTCTCTGCCTTCAGCTACACAACCTGCTGTCAGCCTTGCACAGACATAGAGCAAGATCACAGCACTACTGGACCAGCTGCACTCAGGGCTCTCTTTGCTGCTTCCTCTAACACTCCAGCACTCTCTCATTCTAACACACACACTCACACACTCACGCTTGCTGGCACACCCCCTCTCTATCTGTGAAGGGAGAAGCTCTGCTCGTGTCGGTGTGAGAGGTGGGCTGTGTTTCTCTCTGGCGGCATCAGTACTAGCAGTAGGACTGGTCCAGTGGAGGGCAGTCAACTCGCTCTCTCCAGACTCAAGGACAGCTCACGCTCCGGACTTGGGAAGCCCTCAACAAGCCTCTCTCCCTTTCTTTCTTTCTCTCTCTTTCTCTCCTCTCTCTCTCTGCCTCGTCGTGACGCAGTGTTTCTGACCTTCATCCCCCTCGTGTGCACAGCGTGGGCCAGTGGGACAGCCATGGAGGACACCCTCACCTGCAGCCCTGCCACCTTCTCCCAGGTGTTTGGACGTCAGGGACAGCTCATGCAGGCTAGTGAGTAACCAAACATACGCCATTGTTAAACATGTCAGTGTTTTATCCCCCATCGGCTGCCTGGAGATCACTCCCAGATCAGATCGTTAACAAGCCTGCTCTGCTTGTCAATTTTAACGGATCTCCAGGCTTTCCCTGCAATCTTAATTAAGCTGGTGCTTGGAGAGACTGTTTCAGATAGAGGGAGGCTGAGATCTCATGGGATTACTGTTGCACTAGTCTCTTTGGAGTAAAGTGGTGTTTCTATGTACTGTAGGTTGCTATTAAGGGAAATTGCAGTGGTCTGCAAACGGGCTTTAGGTAGTCTGAGTGTAAGGTGCACAAATGATTGCAGGATGTTTTGTTTTTGTGCCCATGAGGAAATGTGCAGTTTGTGTAGGTTAGGTCATGGTTACTCATGGTTAATATCTCAGTTGCTGTGTTGAGTTGAAACACTAGCAGGGCTGATTGAAACGTTAGTAAGGCTGATACGTATCAAGTGTTGGTACAGTATGTCGAGGAGGGGGATCATTATATTATAGCAGTGTAATCTCACAGCAGTGTTGTCACCCAAAACACTCTTCAAAGTATGGACACACATATGTTTTCTATTTTCACAATCGTAAAAAATAAATGTATATTGCTCCCTTGTTTGACAAGTTAAAATTAGAGCCCGACTAATATGGGACTTTTGGGTCCGATATGGATTTTAGGGAGGCAGATGTCAACGATTACTGATATATCTGCCTATATATTGTTTTTTTAGAGGAGGAATGAAAAACATACCTTTTGTGCACCAAAGGATTAACAGATACTCTAAATGATGATTTCTTAACAAAATATTAAAATTAACATGATTTAAGAATATTTCATTCGTGGTTTATAGGATATCCACCAAAAAGCAACTACACTGAACATAAATATAAACGCGACATGTAAAGTGTGGTCCCAGATTTCATGAGCTGAAATAAAAGATCCCTGAAATGTTCCATACGCACAAAAAGCTTATTTCTCTCAGATTTTGGGCACAAATTTGTTTAAATCCCTGTTAGTGTGCATTTCTCATTTGCCAAGATAATCCAATTGGCATGCTGACTGCAGGAATGTTCATTTCTCTACCATAAGCCCCCTCCGCCGTTTTAGAGAATTTGTCAGTACGTCCAACCGGCCTCACAACCGCAGACCACGTGTAACCACGCCAGCCCAGGACCTCCACATCCGGCTACTTCACCTGCGGGATCGTCTGAGACCAAACCACCCGGACAGCTGATGAAACTGTGGGTTTGCACAACCAAAGAATTTCTGCACAAACTGTCAGAAACAGTCTCAGGGAAGCTCATCTGCGTGCTCCCATGTCGCAATGATCTGTGCACAATTCCTGGAAGCTGAAAATGTCCCAGTTCTTCCATGGCCTGCATACTCACCAGACATGTCACCCATTGAGCATGCTTGGGATGCTCTGAATTGATGTGTTCCAGTTCCCGCCAATATCCAGCATCTTCGCACAGCCATTGAAGAGGAATGGGCCAACATTCCACAGGCCACAATCAAGAGCCTGATCAACTCTATGCGAAGGAGATGTGTTGCACTGCATGAGGCAAATGGTGGTCACCAGATATGGTGGTCACCAGGTTTTCTGATCCACGCCCCTACCTTTTTTTTAAAGGTACAGTATCTGTGATCAACATATGCATATCTGTATACCCAGTCATGTGAAATCCATAGATTAGGGCCTAATGAATTTATTTCAATTGACTGATTTCCTTATATGAACTGTAACTCAGTAAAATCTTTGAAATTGTTGCATGTTCTGTTTATATTCTTGTTCAGTGTATATCCTCTAAAAATACGGCAGTAAATACAACACTTTTTTAGTTTACCTTAGGTACAGTGGATAAAACAGTTTTTTGGATTTTTTTTTGCAAATTTATTACATAAAAAACTGAAACCTTGCTATGAGACTCGAAATTGAGCTCAGGTGCATCCAGTTTCCATTGATCATCCTTAGATGTTTCTACAACTTGATTTGGAGTCCACCTGTGGTAAATTCAATTGATTGGACATGATTTGTAAAGGCACACACCTGTCTATATAAGGTCCCACAGTTGACAGTGCATGTCACAGCAAAAACCAAGTCATGAGGTCGAAGGAATTGTCCGTAGAGCTCTGAGACAGGATTGTGTCGAGGCACAGATCTGGGGAAGGGTACCAAAACATTTCTACAGCATTGAAGGTCCCCAAGAACCCAGTGGTCTCCATCATTCTTAAATGAAAGAAGTTTGGAACCACCAAGACTCTTCCTAGAGCTGGCCGCCCGGCCAAACTGAGCAATCGGGGGAGAAGGGCCTTGGTCAGGGAGGTGACCAAGAACCCAATGGTCACTCTGACAAAGCAACAGAGTTCCTCTGTGGAGATGGGATAACCTTGCAGAAGGACAAACATCTCTTCAGCACTCCACCAAGCAGGCCCCCTTTTGCTGCTATAACAGTCTCCACTCTTCTGGGAAGGCTTTCCACTAGATGTTAGAACATTGCTGTGGGGACTTGCTTCCATTCAGCCACAAGAGCATTAGTGAGGTTGGGCACTGATGTTGGGCGATTAGGCCTGACTTGCAGTCGGCGTTCCAATTCATCCCAAAGGTGTTCGATGGGGTTGAGGTCAGGGCTCTGTGCAAGCCAGTAAAGTTCTTCCACACCGATCTCGACAAACCATTTCTGTATGTACCTCGCTTTGTGCATGGGGGCATTGTCATGCTGAAACAGGAAAGGTCCTTCCCCAAACTGTTGCCACAAAGTTGGAAGCAAAGAATCGTGTAGAATGTCATTGTAAGCTGTAGTGTTAAGATTTCCCTTCACTGGAACTAAGGGGCCTAGCTCGAACCATGAAAAACAGCCCCAGACCATTATTCTTCCTCCATCAAACTTTACAGTTGGCACCATGCATTCGGGCAGTTAGCGTTCTCCTGGCATTCGCCAAACCCAGATTTGTCCATCGAACTGCCAGATTGTGAAGTGTGATTCATCACCCCAGAGAACGCGTTTCCACTGCTCCAGAGTCCAATGGCGGAGAGATTTACACCACTCCAGCCGACCCTTGGCATTGCACATGGTGATCTTAGGGTTGTGTGCGGCTGCTCGGCCGTGGAAACCCATTTCATGAAGCTCCCGACGAACAGTTCTTGTGCTAACGTTGCTTCCAGAGGCAGTTTGGAACTCGGTAGTGAGTGTTGCAACCGAGGACAGACGATTTGTACGCGCTACGTGTTTCAGCATTCGACGGTCCTGTTCTGTGAGCTTGTGTGGCCTACCACTTCGCGGCTGAGCCGTTGTTGCTCCTAGACATTGCCACTTCACAATAACAGCACTTAAAGTTGACCGGGGAAGCTCTAGCAGGGCAGAAATTTGATGAACTGACTTGTTGGAAAGGTGGCATCCTATGACGGTGCCATGTTGAAATTCACTGAGCTCTTCAGTGAGGCCGTTCTACTGCCAATGTTTGTCTATGGAGATTGCATGGCTGTGAGTTCGATTTTATACAGTGGGGGAAAAAAGTATTTAGTCAGCCACCAATTGTGCAAGTTCTCCCACTTAAAAAGATGAGAGAGGCCTGTAATTTTCATCATAGGTACACGTCAACTATGACAGACAAATTGAGAAAAAAAATCCAGAAAATCACATTGTAGGATTTTTTAAATGAATTTATTTGCAAATTATGGTGGAAAATAAGTATTTGGTCTCCTACAAACAAGCAAGATTTCTGGCTCTCACAGACCTGTAACTTCTTCTTTAAGAGGCTCCTCTGTCCTCCACTCATTACCTGTATTAAAGGCACCTGTTTGAACTTGTTATCAGTATAAAAGACACCTGTCCACAACCTCAAACAGTCACACTCCAAACTCCACTATGGCCAAGACCAAAGAGCTGTCAAAAGACACCAGAAACAAAATTGTAGACCTGCACCAGGCTGGGAAGACTGAATCTGCAATAGGTAAGCAGCTTGGTTTGAAGAAATCAACTGTGGGAGCAATTATTAGGAAATGGAAGACATACAAGACCACTGATAACCTCCCTCGATCTGGGGCTCCACGCAAGATCTCACCCCGTGGGGTCAAAATGATCACAAGAACGGTGAGCAAAAATCCCAGAACCACATGGGGGGACCTAGTGAATGACCTG